CCCCCCTCCCCTCCCCAAGCCCGTAAAAAATAAACGGTCCCTAATACCAACATCCAACCCAACCAAAGATGTTATAAGATTCTTATTCCCCTGCAAATGATATAACTTTTTTCGCAGATTTCAGGGAGAAACTTAACGACTTTCGCCGATCAGTGAACATTACCTTCTGTTGCATCTCATTTTCTAACTGTGAACATTTTTTAGATCTGTTTTCAAGTTCTATGACAGAAGACTGAACTTCGGACTCCAGTTTGGCCTGCACGGTTAGCGTTGCAGACAGTTCTTCTTTGACCTAAAATAATACATTTGTCAATTTTTCTGCCATCTTTCATAAGGTTATCTCTATTTGCTGATGCGCGTGCATCGATACGCATAAAGCTTTAAAGAAGACTGCTGACATACTCGAGCGTGTTGATGCTGAAGGGCGGTCAGCTCTGATAGCTTCTCTTGGAGCGATTCTTGGGATGTTCTTAACTGGTTGTCCAAAACTGACTTCTCTGCCGCCTTTGCAGCTTCTATAGCCACCAATGCCTCGCTCTACAAAAAAATTATAATAATATGTTGGCCATTTTCCATACATCAGTTTACTGGCAAAAGATAACGCTCTTGGTCGAGACTTGTAAGACTTGAATTTGAAGAAACCTTTCCAGCTGAGCGGTAAATTTTGTTTACGCCAATCACAGCGTGTTTAGCTGTTTCGCCTCCGACCCTCATTCCCAGGCTACCCAACTTTTGCCTTTTTTTTTTTTTGTTTTGTTTTTGTTTTTGATTTTTTTGTTTTTGTTTTGTTTGTTTGTTTGTTGTTGTTGTTTTTTTGTTTTTGTTTTGTTTTTTTGTTTTTTTGACTTCCATAAAACATAATACACGTGTCTACAAGAAGCAGAAGTATGGAAAGGACGAATAAAAACAATTTCACTTTGCCGCCATGTTTTCTTTGTTCTTTCAAGGTCCAAAAATGCTTAGGGCCAGTCATTTTGTGCTCTCATGCGCTTAAGCGCCGAGTTCACCGCTAAGCTGGTTGTTACTACACCGCAACCCTCGATTGCGTGATTCGCATTTGACCAATGAACCAGTGTATGAAAATAGCCCTCTTTGAACGCCTTCCCTTCTGAAGACATACATGAATAGTTGAAATTGCTGAATTTTAATCAACCGATAAAAGTCTTTGGATCCTAATATCTGCTCCACACGAGACAGGAAATGACTTCAAATGAAACCACAAGTAGTTTGGAGCAGAGATAAAGCGCAGTTTGAAATCGCAGTATAAGGTGGAGAAAAAGGTTTACTTATCAGAATCACAGAATCTACCTTTTCTCGTAGGTCGTTTGCAAGTTGTTCACTTTTTTGTCTCTCTTTTTCCAGCTCTTGCTTGGATTCTTCACACAGTCCTTTTAGCCTTGATATCTGTTCCTTTGATTTTGCTAGCTCGTCTTCAACCTTGAGAGGATTAATATAAAATCAGTTTTCTTATATCTTAATCTGGAGATGCTTTCTCAAATAAAAATAGCTTTTTCTTCATAACATTAATATTAAAAACTCGCCCCAGTCTTTTGCTCGTTTCTAAAGTGGTCAATATCATAGCCATGAGAAATGCCAGCCATTGCAATAAAAATATATAACTCATTAGTTATTGTGTCATTGTTATCACCATCTTATTAACGCTATTTTTTTCTTTTGGTGGCCATTATTTCAAGAGGAAAAGTGACGGCTGTAGTTTTTCAAATTTTCTTGATTCTGATTGGCTAACAATTTTTCAGGCCCACGTGCCTGGTCAAAATGGGATCAAAAGCACGTTAATGCGAAGACCTTGTCAATCAAACCAAAGAGAGTGAGCCTGGACTGCATTAAATTTTTTGAAAACATATTTTTTGATCCATCTCACACAGAAGTGCAGGATTTCTTGTCTTTTTTAGTATTTTATGTTTGAAATCTTTACCTGGTTTTGCTGGCGATGCATGTCTTCAATTTTCAAGGAATGCTCTTTGGTCTGTGTTTGTAAGGTCTCTTCAGCATCACTCAATCGGCTTTCCAATTGTTCCTGTATCAAAAAAAAACTACTTCATGAAAAATTTTTCATTAATATGTAAGACTGAATTATAATAGCCCTTGTCGCATACAGTCAATTCAATAAACGTTGTCGTCGACCGGCTCAAGCCTACGCGACTGGACCGAAAGGAATATGGGTAAAAATCACTGAAGCGGTTAAATATTCGTTTTGAATTGAATTGTTCCCGCTAGAAATAAGATAATAATGGCGAGAAACAATCCATCAAATGCATGTCTTTTGGTTTAGGGAAAGAAAAACAAAGTAGTTATGATTCAGTTCACAATTCCGAAAATATGCGGGCATTAAAAAAACGTCTCCTTCAACAATTCCCGCTCGCCTACGAAGGTTCGTGCTATAAACCAGGCATAACTAGTCAGATAAATTTAATCACTACCCAGAGTTCCTTTCGGTCCAGTCGCGTAGGCTTGAGTTGGTCGATAACATTTTTTGAATTGAATGTATACACGTGCGCTTCTGTCATACAATCACAATGTGAAGAAACCTTTTTAGTGCTTCGACGTATTACGCATTTCACTCTGACAAATCCTTTATTATTTATTTTAGTACCTTTTCCTGTTTGATTTGCTTGATGGCAGTTTCTGTACCTTCTCCAGCTTCGATCTAACAAGATGAAAAATACGTGGAATAATAGAAGAATGTCAGTAGGTACCTTCAGTACAGAGAACATAAGCAAGCCACAGGGGCTCTAGGAGGTTGCATGAAAAGAAAAAATGTTACAATAACTTTCGGGAAATAACAACCTCCGTTTAATAGAGGATGTCCGCTTTATAGAGGTTCGTACTATTTGGAACCCGTGTTGTGTGAGGTTTGTTTTCCTGTAAATATATGGGAAGTACATTTGGAAGCCGTGCAGGTGTTCGTTGATTGAAGAGTGCCCGCTTTATAGAGGTTGTTTCACTGTAAATATATGGGAAGTACATTTGGAAGCCGTGCAGGTGTTTGTTGATTGAGGACTGCCCGCTTTATAGAGGTTGTTTTACTGTAAATATATGGGAAGTACATTTGGAAGCCGTGCAGGTGTTCGTTGATTGAAGAGTGCCCGCTTTATGGAGGTTTGTTTTCCTGTAAATATATGGGAAGTACATTTGGAAGCCGTGCAGGTGTTCGTTGATTGAAGAGTGCCCGCTTTATAGAGGTTTGTTTTCCTGTAAATATATGGGAAGAACATTTGGAAGCCGTGCAAGTGTTCGTTGAATTGAGTGCCATAAATATATATAGGAAGACATTTAAAACCGTGCACTGACTTGATGTCCGTTAAAGTAAGGGTGTCCGCTTAATAGAGGTTCCACTACATTTACCTTATGATCACTTACCTTGGCAATAAGGTCAGTTCTCTCTGTCTGTAGTCTCTCCGCGTCTTCTTTCTTTTGAGTTAAATTTGCTTCCAATTCTTTAAGCCTGGCGTCTCTGAAGAAGACATAGAACGTAACAACTATAACTATCAAACTCAGTACCAAATTTCCAAAAACTGTTTGGAATGATTGATAATTTCCMATGGATTGAAACTATTAATAGAAGAAATATGTTCTAGAAGAACTACACTTAGCTGGGCTGAGAGTTTTGGGAAAGACCAAGAGCTTTAAGATTGACTATTGCAATAAATTAAAAGTAACTTCAAGAAGCACACTTATTGGTAACCATAACATCTGAATATTTTATGACTTTTTCAATAATAGACTTGAAATCTTCAATGCATGTCTCGTATTGTATCAAACATCGCAAATGTCCTTCAGTGACTAAAGTCATCTTCATTTATCCTCCAAAAACTATGAAGTCTTTTTTATTATTGGAAAGGAATTTATAGCAAGAAAGACGGAAGTTCTCAATTGGAGTTAAGTTGACCCCTTTGTTCGCCTTGGTGAAGTCACATCAATAACTTTAGTTTGTAATATTTTCTTTTTTACTCACAGACAAAACAATCTTTGCACGATCATAATAGACCCCTTTCACGATTACTCCGACGAAGGACTAAAGTCCGAAACGTCAGTTTCACAAAGCTTTTTAAGGCCGGTTTAGACGGCACGATTTTTGCCTACAATTATCGTATACAACGCGCTCGCGCCATCCTACAACAACTCGAGTCGTAGCGTGTAAATCAAGCCTACAACTCGCCTACGACAGACGCGAGCGTGTTGTATACGATAGTTGTAGGCGAAAATCGTGCCGTCTAAACCGGCCTTTACGGTGTTTCAATTTATCCACAAGATCCTGCTGTTTTATTCAGAAACACCGACGCAGTTTACACTAGTACTCTACTAGTTATCACCACTCCTTTCACGATTATCTTAGATACGAGGTTAACAAAGGAAATCATCGACTTTGTGTCTTTTCTTTGCAAGGGTTTCCTAATCTATTCTATATTTTCYTCACCTGTTTTTCAGCTGTCTTTGGGTTTCTTCTAGTTGGTTTTGAAGGTTTCTTATTTGTTGTTTTGCTTCGTCCTTTTCTGTTACCTGGAATATGGTGAAGATGATATTTTACGCGAAGGTGATCTCAATAGACCTCTTTACCTTGGGTGCAATGTTTGTTTGTTTGTTTTTTTTTTYCATTTCATTCCCTAGAGTATCATTTCTTTGTTTAACGGTTGCACATGAGTAGAAACATGGATATTGATACTGTAAAACTGGAACAAGGAATCTTATTCTCAATAAAATGACACATGGTCTTAATTGGGAAAATATTATAAAATAAAGAGGTCTACTACTGTTTTGGCTAAACAAAATTGCGAGACAAGTTGCATAGTGCAACGCAATCAACATAGACTGCGAGCAGTCCTCTATTTCCATTGGTCACGGTCCGTCTGTCTGTCCATGTCGATTGGCCGAAAAAGATTGGTTACGAGTCAAAAGTCCCTGGGGGAGTGATCACTGTCCGTCTGTCTGTCCATGTCGATTGGCCAAGGAAGATTGGTTACGAGTCAAAAGTCCCTGGGGGAGTGGTCACTGCCCGTCTGTCTGTCCATGTCGATTGACCGAGGAAGATTGGTTACGAGTC